AGTGGAAGCGTAATATGCCAGAATTATTGCTCAAAAGGCTGGTCCATCCAAAGCAGAAGACTGCTGATGCCACTCCTCACCAGAAGCAAGGCTGACGCTGGTCCAACCAAAGCGTAATATGCACTGTCTCTTTCCGAAAACGATATTTTTATTCTCCGTATTTTTTCTACATTTTATGGTAGTGGTTTTGAAGTGTTTTAAAAAATATATATATATTGAAATAATATTTTTTATTTTTTAAAATTTATTTTCAATATAATCACATCAAAACATGAAGATACAACAAGCAAAACTCCTCTCTCTCCGGTTTTTCTCCTGGTTACAAGTTTAAATCTTTTTAACATGCCGATTAGCATAGCCCTGCTTTACCCCCTGAATTGTTAGCCAGAATCAAAACAATCCTGAGAAGAATGTCAAACTGTAATATATTCAAGTTATCCCCGGCCGTTTTCTCCTATTTCATGGTTATTACAGGACATTAGAATACGCAGTACGAGGAAACTTGAAATAATTAAGAACAAATTAAAGATGAAATTGTCCAAAATAGAGCCTGAGTGATAAATGACTCCAGAGAAATCAGGTGCAATTTCAATTGCACAGCTAGTTCCAAGTTGGTTCGCTATAATCCATCATGCATGTCAGCTGTATTCCAGCATTCTAACCCTAAAAATATCTTTAGATAACACAAGGTTTCATCAACCATTGGAAGTATCTCTCGCTGTTGAGATCTACTTCAGCTATCCATCATGAAGAACGCATTTCAGGATCAAGTTATTGGAGTTCTAATCAATTCAGCGGCATAAACAGGTAGGATAGGTCAACGACAGCAGGTCCTATTGCTGGCCTCCTATTCTTCTCTACCCAAAAGTCTCCTTTTTGTAGTGAGAGATCATTCAATATCTCTTCTGCAAATGGGAAATTTCCTATGTATGTAGACTCAAATGCAGTAAACAGTAAAGTAAAGGTTATAACTTTTATTAATAGTTAAGGAAGCGAGGTCTAGAGAAGACAGGGTCATTGAATAAAGAAGAAAAAGAAAAAGAAAAAGAAAAAAGTTAAAAACTCACTGTTCTACCGCGTGCCATGACACCAATGTTTTTAAAAGAAAAGACTAGGAATGAGGTTTGTTGTTGCTGCGTTGAGCAGAAATGGCGAAGACAGAGAACTCAAGTGTGTCATTCGAAGTTGTAGGTTTTGGAATGGAAAGTGAAGTGGATAGCATAACCATGACTACTAAAATCAAGCTTTTTAGCTTCTTCTTTTTTTTTTGGTTAGAAGTAAAGAATAATTTCTGAAATAACAGAGAAAAATAAATAAATAAATAGAAGGTTTGGTGCAATTAGTCATTTTATTAATGGTGTGATTAGTCCACAATTATTGTGGTGTTAATAAATATTGTGTAACGTTATAAGTTATATGTAGAGATCTTTATAAAAATAAATAAATTATTATAAATTGCTTATAAAATTCTCTACAATATACAAAATATCATTTTAAGATATTAAGATATAGATTAGCTAGCCTTGCAACACGAGGGATAATGATTAGTGTTATATTAATTTTAATGAAGAATAAATAAAGAGCATGCTAAGAGTGATAAATTTTGTGATTGATTAATGAGGTGTCTTCCATGAAAGATTAACTCTTTGGCTTCCAAAAAATTTTATAGCTCCAAATTTAAGAATATTATTCACTACAACAATATAATATAATGATAATTTTATCTCTTAATTTAAAAAATTTAACACTAATTTCTCAAGATATTAAAATCTTTTTACATGATTCACTATTTATTAGTAAATTAACAAGTGACAAATAAGTTTTTATATGAGTTGCATAATAAAATATTTAAAATATCATTAGAAACAAAAAAAAAATTAAAATTAGCTTTGGGGGATTTTTTTTATTTTTACAATAATTTTTTCATTAATATAATGTCAAATAAGATATAATTTCTTAACTGATCAAATATTAAAAAATAAAAAACAATTAAAAAATATAGTGAAATAACCTAAATAAGTTTAAAAACAAGAAATTTAAAACTTGAGTTAAGAGGTTTTTTAATCTTTTCATAATAGTTTTTTTCATTATTATCATGTTAGTTTAATGATAGTGTGGTATTTATAAAAAACAAAAATAAACAAGTGATTGTATAGTATCAAGAGGTATATAAGAGGTGCTTGTGTATTTTGGGTGATAAATATAACATTTTTTAGTATTTAAAAATATTTTTTTATCATAATATTATATCCTTTTCAATATAAAATTACATGTGTAGTTATTGGTGATTTAGTTTGGTTGGCTGTCCATGAATTATTTTTTCTCTCTCTTACTATTCCACTAAATCATATAGTTTACACTTCTTGATTGGTATTTTAATTTTAATATTTAATATTTTGATTTTGATTTTATGTGTTTTTGTTTTTGTATAATTTTTTATATATTTAAAAAACTTAAACCGGGCCTTGAGATTATGGTTTGAGTCGCTAAAGTTTATTTTGCGAGACGTAGGTGGGATTTCTAGTGCAAGACACATGATAATTACCATAATAATTTATTTACTGGTTCATCTCTTCTCTGTGCATTGATAGAAAATTTTAAATTTTCTATAAATGGATGTCTTTATATTTTACCTAGATCACAATGGTGCGGTTCTCTCCGACGAGGATGGAAATGTACTCATCTGTATCCTCGTCATCTCCCATCCTTTGCCTATAATTATCATAACCCCGTACATCCATTTTAAAGAGAAACAAAAATCCCTCAGGCAAAACATCTGATAAATATTTCTTATAAAATAATCTAAATATGCTTAAAGAAAAACACATGACTAAGCATGACAACTAAAATAAATAGCAATGCATTACAAGTTTTAAGTAAAAACTATGGTTACATTTATTCAATAACTATCATGAATATATTTAACAAAATTCTAAACTGTATGGTGTTTTTATTCTAGCAATAGATATACTTAAATGTAGATGTAGATTGCTATAATAAAATTATTTATTTATTTTTTAGTGAGAAAAATTAGACATCAAGGCTGGTTTTTTTTTTTTTTCACTAGTCATTAGCTATTAAAAGATTGTTTGGAGGTGTATTTGTTTTTTTCAAAAAAATTTAAACAGTTTACTTATAAAATCAATAAAATTTAAAATTATTACTAAGAGATTTCTTGACTTTTTACAAGTTTTTTAATAGTAAAAATACTTTTTTGCTCGTGGAAACAAAAAATTTTAGGTTGGTCAAGAATTCTTTTTAATTTTTTCGTTATCCATATATAGTATAAGTACAAATTTAACCTTGGATTTGATTAAAAAAAAATTACTTTTTATTTAAAGATATCTTTATATTTTTATATAAGTATTTTGTATGATTAATGTGGTCATAAGAGATGTTTTGGTAGTTTAATATTTACTTTTAAATATTTGAATAAAAAAACTAATGGGGCGTGCTAATCACATGCCAACAAATGAATAATGTTCATGTCATTCAAGTAAAGTGTGTGATACTATATGGTAATCAAATCTAGTCTTTCATCATTTTTTTAGATACACAACCGCATTCTCTTTTATAAGAAGTGACACATGTTTGTTTATAATAATCGAATTGTCATATATGATCTTTTGTTTTCCCCTCTTCTTCCTTTTCTTTTGACATATAAAGTTTATCTTAAACCTTTTTGTTTTTTATTTAAGTCTTCTTTCTTTTAATCTCTTATTTCATACTTATTTCTTTTATAAATGTTTTTTCTATTGCAATTTAGTTCTTCAATTATATTTTTTTATATGTTTTATTTTTAATTTCGCTCTTTATTCTTTTAATTTCTGATTTTATTCTTATTTCTTTTATTGTTTTAATCTTTATTCTTTTAATTTTTTTATTTTGTTTTTATTTCTTTAATTTTTTTTTTAATTTAGTCTTTCAATTACAATTTATTATTTTGATTTTTTTATGTAAGGAAATACATTAAAAGCATCCTATATCTAATATATTTTTTTCAAAATTATAACTTGTGATGGAGCATTGATTAAATAGCTAGTTTTAATAAATAAACCAAGTGGGTTTATTAATGGAGCTTTATAATAGATTAGAGTTAACGCTGATAAAACCACCATTTTCTCAATCTTGATTCCCATGTGGTAATTCAATAATTTATAGTCCCAAAGGAGTGATAGTCTATTATTTATTCTCTCTAATATATTTTGATTTTTAATTCAAATTATATGAGATTTATTATATTTTTTTATTCGTAAATAAAATCCACGGGTTAAAAAATTATAGATGAGATTTATTATATTCTGTGGGAGAAAATTATAATTATAATTTTAAAATCTAGTTTAATGATTAGCTAGGTTCAAGGTTTGAGTTTCGGTTTTGACCGGATTATCAGGTTGCCTGAGTTAATTTGTTTTTAAATCAAAACAATATTTTTTAATAAAAAAAATTAATAAATTATAACTTGATTTTTGGTTAGATTTTACCAGATTACTACATCAACTTATAGAATTAGTTGAGTCCTATTATATTTTTTTATTTATTTTTTATATGAGTTATATCAAATTTTTTTTAATTATTTTAATCCAGTCTACTTCTAATTTTAAATTAGTTAAATTCTATAGCAGCCTGTCAAACAAGATTAAAATTTAAAATTATGATTATAGCGATCAAATATATACTGCATGCCAGCTATGAGCTGATCTATTATTAAGTTAAGAATTGACTCCAAATAAAAAATAAATAAAAAAAGCCACGCACTCCTAAATTAGATCAAGCACACCTCTTGAATCTCTTGCCACATTCCAACAAACATCGAGAAATAGCCGACTCCAACCTGTCCCACCCCCTTATTATCTTTAATCACCCATTATTTACTCAATATAATATTAGATACCCTAAACTCTAGTTAATTAAAAACTAACCCAAACCTAATTAGGGTAATTCATCAAACAAAACGACAAAACCCAACGCCTACTTATGTGACCATTTCGCTTTTCGCAAGGCCATTTTTTATTTTGCTTCTTTTCCCTTTCCAGTGAAGCCAAAGAGAGACCAAACTTCTCCACCTCATGGCCGTCTCTTCTTGTCCGTGTCCTAAGCTCTTCGTCGCCTCCTCTTTCGAGTGCCGTTCCGACTCCTCCTCAAGCGCGGACCAGCCGAGTCAAGGCCGATCCAACTCCGCTCGCCATGGAACCACACCCTTTTTATCTGGCGCCGGCATGTCCTCTCTGATTCTCAAATTTCCCCCCAACTTCGTGCGCCAGCTTAGCACCAAAGCTCGCCGAAACTGCAGCAACATCGGCGTCGCGCAAATCGTTGCTGCGTCGTGGTCTAACAACTCCGCCGCAGGTGCTCCCTCCGCCGCGGCGGCGGCTGCTGCTGCCTCCGCAATCCCCGCAGCCGAGCCGGCCGAGACCTTGGCCGGAAATGAGGTGGCGGGAATTGATAGCAGTGATAATAAGAATGTAAGTGTTGTACAGTTGGAGGATTTGAGTAGCGATTTGAAGTCGTTTTTGAGTTCTGATGGAAGCATTGCAGTTCACGCTGGTAAGCATTCAAATCTGATTTCGCTTTTCTTTTTCTGAATTTATTATTATTCTTATTATTAATTTCTTTATGGATGTTTGAAGGTGAAAGATTAGGTCGTGGTATAGTGACAGATGCAATCACGACTCCGGTGGTTAATACTTCTGCTTATTTCTTTAAGAAAACCCAAGAGCTTATTGATTTCAAGGTAATAATAATATCATAATTATGCATTTAAAAGCTTCCAAGTAATACGTTGAAATTATTTCTACGTGATGATCCTATTTGTATTAATGAAATCTACGAGAATGGATTAATGATGTGCTATAATGTATTGATTAGTTTTGTGGTAATCTACAATGTTGTTACAGGAGAAGCGCCATGCAAGTTACGAATATGGTAGGTATGGAAATCCGACCACACAGGTTTTGGAGGACAAGATAAGGTTTGTGTTTAGTGGTTAGTTTGGGGTTTGTTCGACTTGTATGGTTGCATGATTATTAATAGGAGTGTGTCTGTGTCGTGTTTGTTTTTTCAATTCAGTGAGCTTGAAGGAGCGGAATCAACATTGATTTTGGCATCTGGGATGTGTGCTAGTACTGTCATGTTGTTGGCGTTGGTACCTGCTGGCGGTCATCTTGTGACAACCACAGATTGCTATAGGAAGACTAGGATTTTCATGGAAACTTTTCTTCCTAAGATGGGGATCTCGGTATGGATTCTTTCAGTTACGAATATGGGTATTTGATTAGTTTTGTGGTAATCTACAATGTCCTTTGAGTTGTGAAAACTTGTTGTATCATTTATTTTGTTTCAAGAGAACAGATCAAGTATTTAACTATTAATTTTGTGGAATTTGTAATAACGTGTAAAAATTGCTTTTCTAATGTTGGGAATTAACTGCAGTTTTACAAAAGAATCTTAATGCATAACTTTTCTTTTGTCATGTTTCAAAAATATGTACATTTGTATTTCTGAATATAGGAGTTCCTTGCAATCTGTCGACGAGAGTTTGTTTGAGGTTAATAATACATAGATCAACTCTTTCATGTTTGGTAGATCCATGTCAAATTTTGTATCTTATTTTCTTTAAGATTTGGTTAATCACACGTTTTGCTTGATATTTTTGGGGGGATATTTTGGTGTCATTCTGCTATGATTTTGATCATTATTCATTATGCAGGTTACTGTGATTGACCCTGCAGATGTGAAAGCTTTGGAATCTGCACTTGAGATCAACAAAGTCAGTAGTGTAGAATAGTTTATTATATTATTGAAAGTCTTCTTTGAGCATGTTACTTTAATGACATGTCATCCTAAATTGCATGGCATAATAATTCTGTGCAGGTTTCTCTTTTCTTCACCGAGTCTCCTACCAATCCATTCCTGAGATGTGTTGACATTGAATTGGTTTCAGAGCTTTGCCACAGAAAAGGAGCATTAGTCTGCATTGATGGTACCTTTGCAACACCTCTAAACCAGAAAGCCCTTGCTCTTGGAGCTGATCTTATTCTGCACTCTGCAACAAAGTTCATTGGGGGACACAATGATGTAGGTTTGCGAAATTGGTTTAATCATTTAATTAAATTTTGTCAACAAATGAACTGCCAATTTTCTCCAACATAAAGCATTGGATACATGCATCTACTCCAGGTTCTTGGAGGATGCATAAGTGGTTCCACAAAGGTAGTTTCAGAGATTCGTAATTTGCATCATGTTTTGGGAGGTACACTCAACCCGGTGAGTGCTTTGATTAAGTAAACTTCTGGGTGATATATATAATTCAGAATTTTATATATAAATTTTTCATGCTGCTATGAAGAATAACTTAAGGTTCCTTTTTTTCCTCTTCTTTTTCTAAAGAATGCTGCCTATCTGATCATCCGAGGCATGAAGACACTGCATCTTCGTGTACAGCAACAGAACTCAACAGCATTGAGGATGGCCAAAATTTTAGAGGCGCATCCCAAGGTATGTATATTATAATGTACTCTAATGTTTATATATCTCTGCCCTCTGATGATGAATCCTCTCCAGTGACATTGATATACCTAAATATTGTATACAAAATACTAAAGGGGATTTATATTTTCCACACATAGTAGGGATCATCATTGTTAAAACTTTCTGAGAAACGTCAAGCTATATGTTTACCAAATTAGCTTCTTTTGCAATCGATCCATTTAGTTGTTTTATGTTGGATATGGAACTTGAGTTTACCTTTGTAAAGCATGCAAGCATGTTGGTCCCTTCTCTGTATAATCAAGCAGCAAAGTGGTTTTGATGGTGTATAAGAGATTTTTACTGAATTATTTAGTGCTTTTAATTCTAAAATGTTTTCTTCATGCAGAGCTATATGGTCCTCTGATAAGAAAGTGGATCATTTTTCTCTTCAATTTTCATCGAACTTTTTGATATATATATAACAAGTGTATAGCAAGGAGACCATAAGTATACATGATATAACCTTTGTTCCACAAGTGTCTTCTTTGACTGCGCACACAATTAAGAATGACTGATGAATTTTGAGTGAAGTCATCTCTTCTTCTTTTTTTCTGGTTTTGAATATTGTCCTTCCATGATGAAGGCAGTTGGAAAAAAACTGTGGAGTTTAATTTAATAAAAACAAAATAGGATGTTTGAGATAATGGATATAAATATTGGGATAAACAAAAACGGAAACCCTTTTGTTGGAACCGAGGGAGCATATGGTTTTTGGTTTTGAACATAAAGCTACTATATTGCGTATCAAAACTCAGGAAGACTCAAGCAATGATACTTGCAGGTGAGGTGCGTTTATTATCCAGGCTTGCCAAGTCATCCTGAACATCACATTGCCAAGAAGCAGATGACTGGTTTTGGGGGTGTGGTGAGCTTCGAGGTGGGTGTTTCTGACTGCTTGAGTTGAATGTGTTAATGGCTTGGCAGTACATCTGTAATTGTTATATAATATTCCTGAGCGCTCCTCTCTGATGTTGCAGGTTGATGGAGACTTGCTCATCACCTCAAAATTTGTGGATGCATTGAAAATTCCTTATATTGCCCCTTCTTTTGGAGGCTGCGAGAGCATTGTAGATCAGCCAGCCATTATGTCTTACTGGTATGTAATTAATTTTCCTCGTGTTCCCTTCTGTTGTGGATTTGCTGACAATGAGCTTAGTCGATCTGTTTAAGAAACAAAAAATAAACGTTTTGGTAGGAAGAAAACCACAATCTTGCTATTAAGGATTGAGAAACCGTTTGGCAACGTGGTTACATCTATGTTTTGTGTGATTTTATGCAACAAGCTGTTTGGTTTGGTTAATAATAAACGCGTGTTATTATTTGCTGGGTCCTACATGCTGCTACGTTTGAAACTCAAGAAAATGAGAAGCAGCTATGAGTTGCTTCCTGCACGGCCAAAATCTAGTTTGAAACGCAAGAAAATGAGAAGCAGCTACTGCACGGCCAAAATCTAATTCATGTTCCTGTTCAGTGAATAGTGTAGCATGTCTTCACTATTCACTGAACAGTTTTTTTTTTTTTTAAATTAGTGCAGTTAGTTAATTTTACTTGGACTGTTTACATGAATATAAATAATAATTTTTTTTTATTTTTTTTAAATTAATTTAAGGTGAATTAAATATAATTGGATTATAGTATTAATTTTATTTTTAATAATATTTTATTTAATTTTATGCTTCTTGTTGGATGAATTATATGTTCCATTATAGATAGTTTTTAAAGTAATTTTTTTATATAAATTATGATTTATTTTATAATATAATAGCAATAGTTAAATTTATAATATTTAAATTAAAAATCATCAATATTAATATATATATTTTTTAAATTATTTTAGAACTTTAATTTTAAAAATATTTTTAACCAAATATATTAAAACTATTTTTTTCAATCTTAATTTTAACCATAGTTTTAATTAAACATTTATATTTTCAAATTAATTTCAACTAATAAAATAATTTTTTTTAAAATCATAAATACAATAGCTAAGCTACTCTAATACTAAATACACTTTTAATTGTGTTACTGTAGAAATTGTCTTGCATTAACATAGAGGAGATATTTCTTCTTTTCAACCGTGTAAATGAAAATATTACCCTTTTTTTTTGGTTGAAGCAGCAGTATATATTTAGAAGGTCTGTATTTTATGTGACAGTTTCTGGTATCTGGAAAGGGCTAACAACATAGATGCAACGGTTATAATTCTTCTTGGAGTTATGTTAATGCTTGCTCATGGTTCTATGATATATCATCAATTCAATCTCCCCTTGAATTTGAAAACAGGGATCTGAGTCGATCAGAGAGAGAAAAGTATGGGATTAAGGACAACTTGGTTCGGTTCAGCTTTGGAGTTGAAGACTTCGAAGATTTGAAGGCTGATATACTTCAAGCTCTGGAGACCATAGAGAGTGCTTGAAGGTGCCTGCCTGGGAGCAGTTGCTTTGAAGGCTCGATGCACTGTCAAAGCTTGGAGACCATAGACGTCGCCTCACCTACCCCTTTAATTTTTTTTTTTTTTGAGTTTTCCTTTCGTAACTGCGTTTGATCACCATATTTACAGTTTCTGTTCTGTTGACGAAACACTACGAAACCTTTTACCTATTAGCCATTTTTCTATTTTCAGCGTTGACTCTTGTGCTCGTATTCTTGGCTAGAAACGATCTTTGTTTTCCTTGTTTGAATCATCGATGAATCTTCTCAGCCGATCCAAAGCGCGTAGAGCCATGGGCCTTTTCTTCTTGGGAAATAGCTGGATGGCATTTCATGCTCTTTATTTTTTTTGTCATTATGAAGTGTACGACTGCCATTTCAACGGTGGTAATCAAAACCCGACTGGGTCCACTATCTATGCACAAAAGACAACCTTCTTTTGAGATGATTTTGTGAAGCGATTGGCTTGTAAGAGATCAACGTATGCTTGAAGCAAGCAGTGGACCTCGGCGAGATCCGTTTTGGGTAAAAACCAAGGGACAAGGCTTGAGGAGTTACGTCACCAAGGCCGAAAGGAGCCGAAAAAAACTCTGGCTTTCTTCATGCAAGTTGTACTCGCACTCGGCTCAGGAACCATCGATCGATGGCGGACTGCCTTTTAGATATGGAAATAAGAGAGAGCTGACGACACACACACACACACACTCTTTAAGATCAAGTCAATACTATTATTTAATTAACAAGGTTTCTGTCTATTAAATTAAATTATTTAAAGAACATGACCCCTAGAGGAGTGAGGAGCGGTTCCCCCCTCTCTTTTTTTTTTTTTTGTTTAGTTTAAGTTATCATAATACTTGTATTTGGTTGATGATTAATTTTATTTAATGTATTTTTATTATTATATTATTAAATAAAAATAGTTAGAAAAACAATATTGTTAAAGCTAGTGGATTTTATGACCTAAACTATAAAATTTGAATTGATTTAATATATTATTATTTTATTAATAAAAAAATATCATCTAGATATCTTTTAAAACCAAACTACTAATTTAAATACATCAAATCAATTAGATCAATTAGATTTTATGTGAGTGAATTCTAAAAAAATCAAAAAAATTTAATATTAATATATTATATCAAATTTAATAATAATACAAAATAGTATTTATGAAAACATTTTTTGAGACGTTATTTTACTTTGAACAATTCTCATATATTATTTAATCCATCTTTATATATAAGATAGTTGTAAGCCTGCATATTCCTCTTATCTTTTTTAAGTCACATCTCCCATCCACTTTCCAAATATTCCAAAATTCCTCCTCACCCTTGGTATTCTTTTATCATGGTTTCCCCCCCCTTACTGTATACACTTTGATACTCTTATCTCTTTGTTTTACAAATACATAGAATGCAGCACAGCACAAATCCATAAGCATAGCATCAAGCCATGAAGTTTGGAAAAGACTTCAAGACCCACCTAGAAGAAACCCTTCCTGAGTGGAGGGACAAGTTTCTCTGCTACAAACCCCTCAAGAAGCTCCTCAAACAATTACCTCCCACCCTTGATTCTCTCAACCTTGATCGCCCCATTAATTTTCAACTCCATCCACACCCTCCTCCGCTCACTGGTGATGTTCATGGTAATACTAATAGGCCTTTGGTGGATTTGCAAGAATGGTTTGTTAGAATTCTTAATGAAGAGCTTGACAAGTTCAATGATTTCTATGTTGATAAAGAAGAAGACTTTGTTATACGCCTTCAGGTTTCTTTCTTGATTTTTCTTTTCTTTCTTTGTTTTACATGTTTATAGCTTTGTGCATATGGGTTTTTAATTTCGAGGCTTTTGTTTATTGTAACTCTGAGAATTTAAGGTATTGTGGTTTGATGGTGGCTTTTAAGGTTTTTCCTATATGCATGTCTTGTAAATCCGAACTCATAGGTCTGGTTAAAGGGTTTTGTAAGTTTTTGAATAATCAGGAGAGGAGTAGAATGGAGAAGACATCGTGACTTCATTGGAACAGGAGAATAGTGGGATGTCAAGGAAAAAAGACGCATAAAAGTGGCTTTCCTTTCCCTGGTAGTGCTGGGTGGTGTTGTCAGACAGTATGTGAAGAGGAGATTGTCGATGGGATTGGAGGGGCTTGATAAAGTTAAGATAAATTTTCCAGTTTGTGGAACTTGCTGAAGTAGAGCAGAGTATCTTGTAGTATAGTTATAAGGCCAACCATCGTCAATTATAGCTGACAATGGGATTGTTGGAAGTCAGTTGAGGGAATTGAGGGTTCTGAAATGAGAATATTCAAATGAAATGCCAGGTCGTCAATATATGAGAATTCTGACCATGCAGAAAAGCTAACTGACAGATTGGACTGTATGATTTTTCCCTTTTCATCTGACCGGATTTGTTTTGAGATTAGTTAGGGATAGTAAAGTTGCTAAGAGGGCCTGCAGATCGTAAATGAGAGAAAAGGGGGGCGGTGAGGGATCATGTTATATCATAATCTAGAATAGATCGGGTTGTGATTTGTGAATAATATTAGTAGCCACAGAAGAAACTCTGCAGCCAAACCCATGCAGTTGGGAGCTACAGCTCTTTGTTTTATTTATTAATCTTAGTTTCAGTGTCTCTGAAACATAATTCTATATTCATCAGTATTAAAAGCATATTCTAGGTTTATTGCTTCCAATTTGATGTCTTTAGAATCACCTCCATATCGTTACAGAACTAGCCAGGTCGTATCATGCTCATACTGGATGAAGTTGTAAGAAGATGCCACCTTGAGGAGGGTCGTTTGATATTAAGATGCCTGATGCATTGTCACAAATTATGTGACTTTAACGACCAGGATCCGGTGTCTGAGCAGGTTTTTTCTGATGGGAAAATGCTTCCAATCCTTTCTAGTGTCAAGCATGTCTTTTCATAATGTACAAAGTCCATTACTCGCAAGGCTTTCCATTATTAAACAGAATACAGCAGGTCTCAAGATTTAGCTAATTGTATAATCATGATGCAATCATAGCACAGTTTAGAACCATCACCCTTCTTCGCTATTAAACAGTGTTAAGACGATGCAGAAGAGATGGATCATTATTCTGGTTTGTTTGAACTGAAACAGGAAAAATTATCCTAGAACCAATAAGATCTCTAACTCGACTCCCTCCCTCCCTCCCTCTTCTCTCCTGCGTGATAAGTCATCCTTTTACCACATTTATGGCCAGGTTACTCATTATAGTAAATTTACATAGCACGGTGTGATAGTCATATTTTTTATACTAAATATTTTAGCACTTTTGCAATAAAAATTAAGTAGATTCCTCTTCTAGTTATCGCATGCTACAAAATCCACACCAAACCACTCTTCTTCCTCAGTGTTAATGCTTGCATGGTTAATAGAATATTGTAAAACTCATGCTGGTAATCTATATTCAGCTCTAACTAAATCTTTGTTTATGCCTCTGGGACGTTTGAAATACTGAATTTTTTCTGTACATTTATTAACGACTTCTTTAGAAAGTCTTCATTACCAAAAAATAAATAAAAAAAAATTGCTGAAGAATTTTGTGCATGTTTATACGTGACCTGTCGTGTTCAGAGTTATAAGTTGCTATGCACTCATGCTGGTGTGTTTCTTTACTGATTCGTATATTTGATTTCAACAGGAGCTGAAGGAAAGAATTGAAAGTCTAAAGGAAAAAAGCAGCAAGGATGGAGTTTTTACATCAGAGAGTGAATTTAGTGAAGAAATGATGGATATTCGTAAAGACTTGGTCACCATTCATGGAGAGATGGTGCTTCTAAAAAATTATAGCTCCCTAAATTTTGCAGGTATTGCAGATGCATCTATTGTTTTACACCTAGCTCTCTACAAGCACTGTAGCTAATGACTTTTGTATTGTATCAAACATTATGGGTTAAATATAGATTGGTTGCTAAGACCATATTCATGTTTTTCTCCTTTGATAGGGTTAGTGAAGATTTTGAAGAAGTATGACAAAAGGACAGGAGAATTGTTGCGCTTACCTTTCACACAACTTGCCCTTCATCAGCCATTTTTCACAACAGAGCCTCTAACAAGGTTGGTCCATGAATGCGAGGATAATCTTGAGCTCCTTTTTCCATTGGAGGCAGAAGTCATTGAATCGACCAACATCGTACAAGATCAATCAAATCCATCTCTGAATAACACAAGTATCTCACCTGGGCCTCCAACAACACTGGGGGAGGAAACCATCGACATATATCGCAGCACCCTTGCAGCCATGAAAGCCATACGAGGCCTTCAAAAGGCAAGCTCCACCTCCAATCCACTATCATTTTCATCTTTCTTCAAGGTCCAGGCTGATGGAAGTACTGGTGCTGTAACAGCTGCAAACTCAACTTCAAACTCTTCAGCCACAATGCATGATGGAGAGGAGATTGATCAAGAAGATGTGCATTCTGTTTAACAATATCCTGCATTGTAAACCACCTCCTTTTTTTTTTGAAACGAAGTTTTCAATTGGTATAAGCTGGATAATCAACGTGTACCATTATTTCCCAGATGCTATAAGCTGCGAACAAAATATAAAATTGTAGATGTTTTTCCTTGGCGCAGATAATCTAGCGGGAGAGAACATATTCATGTGTTAAGGGAGATTCTGATATTTCCCGGAAACTCGAGTACATTCTGGTCTCAAATGCGGGATTTGATTATCGTTTGCAGCTTCCCCTGTCACTGGGTCTGCCAATTTATGTTTGGGAACGAAGTCTTCAATGTTATGTCCATGACCATGCCACGGCACATTCTATGGCACCATTCTCGTCACCCATTATTTCTCCTTAAATTTTATTTATTTATTTATTTCAACTGAATACATGAATTCCTCTAGACTTGTAGGATTTGCTTCATGAGGGTCGGCATTTGGAGGCGAATCAAATAATAATCATAGAAATTACTTGTTGCATGTTTTTTTTTTTTTAAATTAATATGAACATGAAAATTAACTTAAATGTATCTTGATTAATTTTATAAATTTTAAAATTAACGATTATATAAAATTTTAATAGCACTAAAATTTACGGGATTTGAGCTAGTGATTTGTAGAAAATAAATTTAAGAATCCGTGACTTCTAGAAAATAAATCTAAAATCTAATCAATTAAATTACATTTCTTATAATTTTGTGCATGGTTGTCCTCTCAATATTTCCCTTTCTATCATACATCTTCATTCTACTGACAATCCACACAAGTAAA